ATTCATATTGAGTAATTGTGGAGGAGGAGGAGGAGGAGCACGAGGAGGAATGATAATGATGATAATGATAATAATATGAAGAATACAAAGAAGACGAATAAGAAGAAAAATCATAAGACGAATGCGAAACATAATAGTGATAAGAATAATAATACTGAGAATACGAATAATAATAGTAAGAGGACGAATATCAAGATTTATAAGAATAAGTAGTAATAAGAAGAAGAACGATAATAAGAAGAGGAGGAGGAGGGGGAGGGGGAGGGGGAGGAGGTCGGAGGAGGAGGAGGACGAAGAAGAAGAAGAGACATAATAATACGAGTGGTGATAATTATACGAAGAATAAAAATACACATTAATAAGAATAAGGAGAAGACTAATACGAATATTATGAATACGAATAATAATATTAAGAATACTATTGATAATAAGAATAACAGTAATAATAATACTGATAATAATAATGATGATAATACTAATAGTACGAATAAAAATAAGAAAAATAAATATAATACGAATAGTAATACTAATGATAATAATAATAAGAATAATAGTATTCATAATAATAATAAGAAACATAAGCAGGCGAAGAAGAATAATAATAAGAAGAAGAGAGGAGGACGACGACGAGGAGGAGGACGACGACGAGAGGAGGACGCAGGAGGACGAGGAGCGACGCGGAGAGAAGAAGGAGGAGGACGGAACGGAGGGGGCAGCGAGAAGCGAGGAGGAGGAGAGAGAGAGGTCATGGAGGGGGGATGCAAGAGGAGGAGGGGTGTAGGGAGAGAGCGAGGGGAGGGGGGTAAGGTGGAGGAAGGAGCGAGAGATGCGAAGGAGTGAGAGGCCAGTGAGGCAGGAGAGAGGAGCGAGAGGAGTAGGGTGCGGAGAGGAGGCAGAGGAGGACGAAGAAGAGAGGACGGAGGAGGGACGAGGAGGAGGAGGAAGGCAGGGCAGGAGGTGCAGGAGGAGCAAGGAGAGAAGAGAGGAGGAGCCGCAGGAGAGGCGGGGTGCCTCGTCTGAGGCGAGGCGGGGAGGGCGGAGGAGCGAGATGGCCGGGTGATGGGGAGAGGAGGAGGCGGGAGGCAGCGGGGACAGGAGGGGGAGGAGGGAGGAGCATAGGTCACTCTCGTCCAGGGCCTTCCTTGTGTGCAGCTGAGCGCTGGCCACCGCGCCCCCGTGGCCAGCCCGGCGGGAGGGAGGGCGCAAGGCCGCTGCACGGCCCGCTCTTCTTCGACGCCGCGCTGCTGCAGAGCGCGGCCACGCCCGCGGGCTACGCATCGCTGGGGCGGCGCCTGCGCTGGGAAGACTGGGCGCGCGCCAGGGTCGGGGATTCGAGGGTCCAGGGTCTCTGCTTTCTGTTCGTGCCCGAGGGCGACGGCGACGCGGGCGGCGTCATCGCTTCGGAGGTGGCTTTTGGGGCGTGTCCAGAGAGCGACGGCCGCGGCGAGGAGCCAGTCCCCAGTGCTCCTGTGCCCGCGCCGTGAGGCAGACTCACGGCGTCGGAGGTCTGGGCTCGCAGACATCCAGCCTCTTGAAACAAGCTAGGCTTACGTCGGGGATGTCCCTCTTCAGGAGGAATATTCAAAATTAGTTTCTAAAACATACAATGGGAACGATTCTTCGATACATTGTTTTTCTTGTGTTTTATTACTTTTGGGATACTTTTCATTTTTATCCTAAATCCGCATGTAGGGGTCATGCCACACCTAAAACCAGCCTCTTGAAACAAACTAGCATGCGTTTGTTGCTCGAACCAGATGGTCGTTTTATTTTTCATTGCTTTGCCGATCGGCGCGGGCCCTCGCAGCCCCCCCCCGTCCCCCCTGGAGTAGCTCTGGGCTGTTTTTGGCGCCCGTTTCGTGCAGGCGGAGTCTCCCACATAATTGCGACGCACTGTTGCAGACAGTCGCATTAAGCAGAGGTCTGGAGCCAGACCCCCCCCCCTTCCTCCCAATGTCGAAACGCCGAATAAGAAAACGCTCACCTGTTCAAACCAGTGAGCTGCAACCGCTACCGACCGTTAATCGGCATCGGCCCTGCTTCGAAACGCCGAATAAGCAAACGCTCACCTGTTCAACCCAGTGAGCTGCAACCGCCACTGCCCGATGATCGGCACCAGCCCTGCTTCGAAACGCCGAACAAGCAAATGCTCCCCTGCTCAAACCAGTGAGCTGCAACCGCCACCGCCCGATGATCGGCATCGGCATCGGCCCCGCTTCGTCGCCCACCAGCCGCGAGGACTCGTCGGCCGGGGGATCGGCCCCGCCCCTCGGCTCCCTTCGGCCAGGGAGCTCGGCGGCGCTCCGCAGTGCGCGCCGGAGCAAGGGAAGGCACGCGCAGTCAACCCGCACAGTGGGGACGGGCAGCTTTCCCAAGGGTGCACTTACATACTTGCCTCAAGTCGGGCGTGTCCCTCCACAGGCGGAGCATTCGAGAATAGTTCGAAAAAATAGCTTGGGAACGTTTTTTTGATTATTTGTTATACTTCTTCAATATTTCTGCCATGTCTGACTTTTCCTCCAAAATCTGCCTGTAGGGGGACATGCCCGACCTGATGGTAAGGATGGGCAGCCTTCCCAAGGGTACCCTTGCACACTTGCCTCCTCGGTCCACCCTCTGCCACTTTCGTTGGCCGCGCCCCGCTCGAAGAAGGCTCGAGATGGGCGTCCAAGGTTCTTGCATCCTTGTCGCGCATCCTTCCTGTACGGGCTGGCTGTAGCACCCTCCAAGATGCGAATGCGAGTGAACGGTTGGCGGGGTTGGTCGTCGGCAGTCTGCAAGGGTCTGACCCAGCCCGCCGCAGGCGCCGAATTCGTGTCAAAGCAATGTGGGTGGGTCGCTCGGATATTGTCAAAGCAATGTGGGTGGGTCGCGGGGTGGGTCGCGAGGTGGGCCGCGGGCGGGTCGTGTGGGGGGGGAGATAGTGAGTGTGTGTGTGTGTGTGTATACGTAGACCAGGCCCCCAGGACAGCAAAATCCACTGGTGGGCCAACCACCCAAGTGGTGATCCACTGGTGGCCCGTGCCTGGCATTGTTTGGTATTGGTTGATCGTGCTTGGCATGGCTTGGCCGTGCGTGGCATTGATCGGGCGTGCTCGTCGGACTGGCATTGATATCTCGTGCTTGGCATTGGTTGATCGTCCTTGGCATCGGTCGTGATAGACGTTGGCTGGTCTTGCTCGGAATGCGTTGAGTGATCATACGTGCCATTGCGTGGCACTGGTTGGTAGCGCATAACATTATTTGGCGACGAGTAGTCGTGCTTGTCAACGCTTGGCATTGCTTGGTCGTACATGGCACTGCTTGGCGCTGATGGTTCATGCTTTGTGTTGGTTGGCAGCGATTGGTTGTGCTTGCATTGATCGACATTGGTTGGTCATGCTTGGCATTGCTTGACATTGTTTGGCGTTGCTTGCCGTTGAGACACCACCAGGGCTGATGATTGCGACCCCATGGGCCTTTGAAAGAAAGAGTCCTTACCTTCCCTTCGGCCTTCGGGTCGTGTTCAGGGTACTGCAATGGGGACCTCCGAGAATAGTCTATATGTGTGTATGTGCGAACATGCATGGCCGTGTGTATAGATTTACATGCGTAGGCTTCAGACTTGCCATTGTTTGACGGTGAGTGGTCGTGCTTCGCATCGTTGGGCATTGCTTGGTCATGCCTGACACTGCTTAGCGTAGATGGCTAATGGTTTCCAGTGGTGGACAAGTGCTGGTCGTGCTTGCATTGCTTGGCATTGGTTGGCCATACTTGGCATTGGTTGGCCGTGCTTGTCGTTGATACGCCTCAGAGCTGATGGCGTGGCCCCATGGGCCCTTGGCCGGGGCCTGAGCTTCCCCTCGGCCATCGGGTAGTGTTCAGGGTGTTGCGAAGGGGACAGACGAACGCACACACCCATACACCGATATACATCAATATATATATATATATATATATATGTACATCAAGCTGCCTGCGGCAAACCCCGCCACAGTGCCTGTGCATCAACGCAACAGGAAGGGGACCGAGTGTGGTGCGAGGGCACTGATGGGCATGCCACACCAAGGGGGGGGTCACTAATGAAATCTCCACCAGAGAATTCTCCACACCAGAAAGTCCATTGGCGGGCCCTCCACTCCAGGGGCGATCCAGTTCGGACCATCCGTTCCTGCGACTCCTTCCGCCCCCACATGGCCAGGGGAGGTACGCTGGTAAACCAATCCGCTCCAAGGAATGTCTGTCTGTGGGCCAGCCACCCCAGGGAATTCCATTGGTGGGCCAATCACCCAAGTGGTGATCCACTGGTGGCCCGTGCTTGGCATTGCTGTACATTGGTTGGTCGTGCTTGCCATTGCTTGGCACTGCTTGCCCCGAGAGGCCCTAAAGGCTCATCCGAGAGGCCTCCGAGGTGGGGCACCTGATGCCAAGCACGACCAACCAAAGCTAAGCAGCGCCGAGCTCGACCCGCCAATGCCAGGCCTGGCCACGCACTGCCATGCGCGAGCACCCAATGCCAGGCTACGCCAAGTATGACCGCACGACGCCAGCCGATGCCAATCATGAGCAAGCAACGCCAAGTAATGCCAAGCAGGACCGCCCATTGTCAAGCGATGCCAAGCCGAAAGAAGCAGCACCGATCAACGCCAAACACAACCAGTAAAAACAGCAACCAACGCCAGGCGATGCATAGCATTGCCAACAATGCCAAGCAATGTCAAGGACGACCACTCATTGCCAAGCAATACCAAGTAGGACCAGTCAATTCCAGGGATCGCCAAGCACGACCACACATTGCCAAGCTGTGTCGAGCAGGAACAGGCAATGCCAAGCAATGCGAAGCACGAACACCAAATGCCGAGCACGGCCAACCAAAGTCGAGCACGACCGACAAATGCCAAGCAGGGGCACTCAGTTCAATTCCAAGCAGTGCCACTGACGGCCTACCAATGCCAAGCATCGCCAGGCAATGTCAAGCACGACAACGAGTGCCAGACAATGACATGCACGACCACCCAATGCCAAGCAGCCCCAGGCATGTTCAACCAACGCCACACAGTGCCAAGCGAGACCACTCAATGCCGAGCACGACCAAGTACTGCAAGGTGCGACAACGCAACGCCCAAGAATGCCAAGCAACCCCCACACAATGGCGAGCAATGCCCATCCGACCGCCAATGCCAAGCAACTCCAAGCACGGTCATCAAACTAAGCATGACCGAGCAATGCCAATCACGACCAACCAATGCCAAGCCACGCCAAGCACGACCACTCGATGCCGAGCAATTCTAAGCATGATCAGCAATAACGCATCTCCCGTGCCAAGACGGCAAATTCCTCAGTTCTGGAGCATCCCCAAAAGGCTCAGGGTATACAACGAGGTTCTCCCACAAGCTTGCCCAGCACATTCCGAAGCATTCCACCCATGGCTGCGAGGCCTCGACACACAGGCTGTTGGACCTCTCCCGCAAGGCCCCTTGGCAATGCTTGGCAATGTGATTGTTTTCCTCACATTCGGCCCAGGGCCCTGAATTTGATTGAAACAGTCAATTCCCCTCAATGCGATTGAGGGCCGAATCTTAAAACAAACACATTGGAACGCACTGGTTGTTTCAATCACATTCAGGGCCAGGGCCCTGAGGCCTTTTTTTCCGGGGGGGGGCAAGAGAAAGATGATAAACAAACGAAGATTGTCAGGTTGGGTGGTCTGTCGTGTTTTTTGTTGGTGCCCCCCCCGCCCTCTCCCAGGCCTCAGGGCCATGGCCCTGAATGTGATTGAAACGATCAGTGCCCCTCAATGTGATTGTTCGGAATCACATACGGCCCAAGGCACTGAAAGTGATCGTGCCCCCCCCCAATGTGAATGTTTTTGCTGTTACCGCCCCTCATGCACTAAGTCACTCAAATTTGGCCCAGGGCCCTGAATGTGTTTGAAACAATTAGTGCCCCTCAATGTGACTGTTTACTCACATCAGGCCCAGGGCCTTGAATATGACTGAAACAATCAGTACCCTACAGTGTATTTGAGGGCCATATATTAAATCAGTCACATTGAGAGGCACTGATGGTGTCAATCACATTTGTGGCCCGAGCCCTGAGGCCTTCGGGGGGGGGGCAAAAAAGGAAAGAACCAAACATCGGGCGGGGTGGTCTGGCGTTTTTTTGTGGCTCCCCCCCCCAGTCCTGAGGGCCCTGGCCTTGAATTTGATTAAAACTATCAGTGCCCCTCGATGTGATCGTTTTAATCACATTCTGGCCCACCGAATGCGGGGGGGGGGGGGGACAAAACAAAAAAACTTGATGGCCATGCAGTTTTTTTTTTGCTCCCCCCCCCCCTCCCCCCCAGGCCGCGCCGCGGGCGATAGGGGAGGGGAGCGTTCTGGCCTCTCGTCCTTTCCTCCCTCTCCCACTCCCTCCTTCTCCCCCCCCATACCGCGCCGCCTCCTTTCTCTCTCTCTCTCGATCTATATCGCCCTCCTTCTCACCCCCATTTGCGCTGCAGCAA